TTCCTCTGTTAGTCGACCTTTCCAGCATGAATCTGTTGGATCGAGAATAAAAGAATGAACGAGGCTACAGATACGATGATATGAAAGTTAGTCATAGTAAATATACATGTGCAAATACATATATAACTCACTGTTCAAATTCATATTCGGTTCCAAATTCATACATGGAAAACAATCTTGTTTGCATTAAATGACCAAATTTCAGCTATTCATTTTATTTTCAAATAAATCCATATAATTATCAATAATTGCTGTATCATCAAGATCTTCTTGCCAAATCCATTCATTATGTGAATCATCATAATCTTTCTATTTAACATAATATTTCATTCGTTTTTTAAATTTTCTATGTTTTATAATTCTTCCAACTTCAAAACTATCATCATCTGTATAATTATCATTTTCTATATCCATATTAATTATTGGTAATTCATTGCTATGATTATCATCAAAGTAGTTTCAAATAAATGCATCTTGTTGATTAGTCATATCTGTAATTCTTAATATATCAAATTCATATATAATGCTATTTATATTATTATTTCTATTAGGATTAGGATAATCAAAGTTTTCATTAACCCATAACAGATGATTTGGTTTATTAGGTATATTATATAACTGACAAAACTTTTGAATATTTAATAATAGAAGTGATAATTTTATTTGTACATTATATATTTTAAATCTGTAAACTTTTATAGTACTTTCATTATTATTAAACCTTTTGAATTTATTGCTAAGAAATCTAAGACATGATTCTATTTTACTTCTAAAACTTCCAAAAGTTTCATTGTATAGTAATTCATTATCATTTAAGTCTATATTTTTACTTTTTCTAATAGGAAAACATAAAATTATTAAGATTTATTTTATCATTTCCTTTTCTATCGCAATTATCTATAGATTTTTTAATATAGTAGTAGTAACCACCATCAAATGCTATGCAATCATTTTCATTTAATTTATTTTCCAACTTCATATCTAAAAACATTTGCCCATCATTATAATTTCTGCATGGTTTACTATTAGATACATTAACTGCAAATTCATTTATTAACATTTAATTGTTCAATTCCCAAAATCATATATAACTTGTGTTTGTAAACCTGAATTTTTGAATTTATATGAATAAAAATTTCTTTTCTTTATATCTTTATCGTTACAATCTATACGACTATCATGACCATCTATAAATAAAGTCATATTTTTAAAGCCTATAGGATTAAGCTTTTCTGCATTTAATATTCTCAAAGTAGTGGATGAAAACATATTTTCTAATAATTCAGTTATAATTCTATTTAAAATCATTAAATGACTTTATAGAAAATTCATTTTTATCATAATTCTTTATACTGATAGTTTCTATGCTTATCTTTTTATTATTAAAGAAATTCAATTTTTATGTAAAAAGTAAAATTATTGCTCATGTCATGTCATATGATGAATTAAAAAGTCTTGGCAAAAAGTGTTGAAGATGAAAATAAAAAATAAAATACAATGTATACTTATAAAATAATTGTTCATTTTTTGCTGTATGTTTTAGCATTTAATATATTATAGTGTTTTGAAAAATTTAAATATTCTCAATTCATTATATGTTTAATAAAATTTTTAAATTTATTTATAAATAAATGTTCTCCCATGATATCTTCGAGATAGATATCACTACTATTATCGTCTTTTCGTAATGGCCATTTGTCTTCGTTTTTCATTGCTTCGAATTTTTTTTGATACTGCTCTCTGTTTTCAGCACTCAAAGGACATGAGTCTGTCTTCGAGCTTTCAGCTGTAGAGAGGGATCTCTTGCTTGTAGTTGTTGGTGTTGCTGATAATGACACAATATTATTTGTTGTAGACGAGGCTCTGCTACTTCTTACGTTTGCAGATTGGATCTCTGGTTCCACTCCATTTTGCTTCTATAAATCAAAAGTTAGAAATATCAAAGGCTTAATGTTATACGATATACATAGCGTAGATAGTTAGATACAATACTTTGAGAACATGTTGTAAAATATCATTCCAATTGGGTTGCTTCTTCGAAAATTTCTATTTATGTATAAAATAGCAGTGTTAGATATTATCTGTGTTGGTGAACGCTTGTACTTGATACACATAGTAAAGTACTTTATGCACCTTTAAATTATAACTATGAATTGCGGTTATGAATCGTTGTTTCCATGTTTGTACAACTGCGTTTGGGTTCGGCATATCAATAAATTTTTTTTGTCATGGTTATATAAACCAGCAAGACTTGGGATTCCTTCTTCATTTTCAAGGTATTCCTTGATCACTAAATAATTTGTAATATGGTTGGTTCTGGGTTATCAATCCCTTTAACATGATTCTAGTTTATACAATATATATTACTACGTTTTGTGATTTCTTCATTATCGCTTGGAGGTGCTGTGGCTGCGGAATCTGACATTTTGTGGAAGGAAGTTAACGCTGTTATGCTTCGGCAACCGTTGCTGGGTTACAGCAAAAATAATTATGATGTAATAAATTGTGACGTAATCAATGGTGATAAATAACGACTTCGTTAAACACCCGAAAAACTTTTGGTGCATTTCTTCTATCAATGTATTTCTTATGAGGGTTTATCAGGGTAACAACCCAGCCCAAGTAATGTACGTGGAATAACTAGTATCGGGTTGTCTTTACTAGTCCCTCAGCGTGCATTGCGTTATCTTTTGTCTATTTGTTTCTTATGAGGGTTTATCAGGGTAACAACCCAGCCCAAGTGATGTACGTGGAATAACTAGTATCGGGTTGTCTTTACTAGTCCCTCAGCGTGCATTGCGTTATTTTTCTTATGAGTCTATTCACAAGTCGATAATAGGGGTCGCAATTAGACGGGTCAGGTTGGGTCAAGGGTCTGACCCATTGACCTGTGGGTCAAGAAAACACTGACCCGACCCGACCCGTTCAACCCGACGGGTCAAAACTCGGGTTGATGGGTCAAGACTAATTTCAATGTAGTGATGAAGGAAGTGTCGATCAGCCTGAACTTGAGTGCTGGAAGTGCAAAACTCCATATATATATAGCTCTCTTAGATGATGGCACGCAAATTCCTAGCAGTGCTAGCAACATCTACGTTTTGAGTGATTATTCTTAAAGGTAAAGGGTTCTGTGCCATCACAAAAGAAATTGCTTGGGCTCACATGCTTTAAAGAAAGCATAATATTTAAAGTGTGGTTGAAAATCGACTTCCCTATATGCCCCTTATCCTTTTCCCTTTTCCCTTTTCTTTTCACTTCTATCTTCTTCCTTCGATTTTCTTTTCTCAATTCCTTTTCTGTCTTTTGTTAAATCGCGTCTCTTACTGCCACCCTCTATTGTATATTCTCATTGCACTATTGCTATGTACTCTTTACTCCTATCATATATATTGCTTATAGCTTACTTATCCCATACTGTTGAATATAAAGTATAATCCCACAATAAAAAGAATTAAGTACGTTTTATGCTATAGTTCTATAGCAGACATATTGACAACTAATGATGATGTTTCCCAACAAGAAGATTGACTACTTCAATATAAGTACCTCATACATATTATATGTATACACGGGTCACGACGGGTCAACGGGTCGGGTCAAGGGTTGGACGGGTCGACCTGCGGGTCAGAAAAGCATCAACCCGACCCGTTGACCCGTCCTCAACCTGCGGGTTGGTTTTGACCCGCGGGTCAGATTGCGACCCCTAATTGGTAATAATGTTGACATTTTTCGATTTTGAACAGGCACCAAAAAGAACAGATTTGAATTTCTTTGATAACCGCCTAATATCCACATATGTTTTCTGTATCGTTTATGCTTTGCAGTAGTAATTTTTGTTTTGTCAAAACAGCATTCGTCGATTTCAACAATTTCATCTTGTCCACCAATTACATTTTTCCATAACTCTTGATTGTTAAGGATCCATGTTTTTATCGCAAAGCGTATTTTTGAATGAGAAGTGCTACGCGTACGAGTTTTTCTGAGCGGGTTTTTAAAGTGGTTGTGTTGTGAAACCTTGTATAGCCAATCCAATTGCCGGTCTTACACGTACGAGTTTTTTGCTAAAGGAACTGAACAGCATATGCGTACGAGTTTTTGTCTATCCATCAATCTTCCGTTTTTTTGAATGGCCTTGTCAAAATAAATAGCTATTGTCATACTTCTTGATGTACAAACTGCTCATTAGATGGGCGCAATGGATTTATTTACGCTGTTCTTTTCGAGATCTTACACGTCTGTTCTGCCACCATACAGTAATGGCATATATAAGTTTGCATTCGCTTCTTTTCTTTAAGTTCTTGGCCTTTTCCCCAATATTTGATGCCACACCAAGCGATATCAGGATTCTAATCAATCAAGCAATTCACTTGTTCATGTGGAGGAGTTTTCTACCGAGTCCATATAGTTAGCAATCATTTATAAAAAAAGAACTTTGGGCAGCGCTCTTTTACGCGTACGAGTTTTTTTCTATAGTGGTTCCACGCGTAAAACAGCCCTTTAACATAAGCTACTGTGATAAGAAGTCAGTGTTTATGTATAAAAAGGTAAAATCCAAGAGAAAATATAAGAGAATTAAAACGCTAATTCATGTGAGAGTAAATATAAGGTGGATAACAGTAATTGTGTCTGACAGAGAAAAATAGAAATGAAATGGAGGAGAGATAAACAAATGGGTTGTTACAACAAGAAAAAATCGGAAAAAAGGTAATGAAAGCTGTCAGATACTATTTATACGTTTCTGGAAATACATTGGAACCAAACTGTGCACTTTTCCACATGCGAAGTCGTGCATAAGATGTGAGATCTTCAACACCTTCTATCTGCATTAGATCCCATTCATTTAAATTTTTGCTCCTTCTACCTTCTTCCAGATCTTCAGCTATAAGTAAAATGGCTGTTTCCGGTGCAAGGATCATTTGGACGTAAGATATGTATGTAAGGCGCAATCTTTCAATGTTGTAGTCTTGGTCTTGTTATGAAGTAGGGAGCCAGTACTTATCCTCACTATTATTTCTACTTAATATGTTAGATCATAGTCTTTTTACATTTGAAACGCATATAGTACTCGAAATTACAGTGAGCAAGTTTCCTATGAAACTTCCACTTCCTATGGAGCTGTTTGAACGGTCTTCAGATTAACAAATAACTCACTGCAAGCAGACTTAAGAAAACTCATACGCGTTAGCAGATAGCTGTCAAAATTTACCCCAGCTAGTTATAATTTACATAGAAAAAACTCGTACGTGTAAGCAGACAACTGTCAAAATTTGTCCCCGCTACTTATGATTTACGTGGAACCAGGTTCAAAAAAATCCATACGCGTAAAAGAGCGCTGCCCAGAGTTTTTTTATAAGTGATTGTTACCTATGTGGACTCGGTAGAAAACTACCTCCACACAAACAAATGAATTGCTTGATTGATTAGGATCTTGATATCGAGCTTAGTGTTCCATCTAATTTTGGGAAAAGGCCAAGAACTTAAAGAAAAGAAGGAATGCAAAACTCATATATGCCATCACTGTATAGTGGCAGAACAGAATCCTGTAAGATCTCGAAAAGAACAGCGTAATTAAACCCATTGCACCCATTTAGCGAGCAGTTTTACATCAAGAAGTAGGACAATAGCTAGCTATTTTGACAAGGCCATCTAAATAGGGGAAGACTGATGGGTAGACAAAACCTCGTATGCATATGCTGTTCAGTTCCTTTAGCAAAAAACTCGTATGTGTAAGACTGGCAATTGGATTGGCTATACAAGGTTTCACAACACAACTACTTTAAAAACCCGCTCAGAAAAACTCGTATGCGTAAGAAAAAAAACTCGTACGCATAGCACTTCTCTTTTGAATATAATTGTGTAACTGTTTCATCATCGATTCCCATTTGTAGAGACACTTTTATAGGAGAAGGATCTATATAAAAAACAAATTAATATTATATATGTTATATTGTAAAAGATACATACCAATCATCCATTGACGTAATAGCTCTACTATTTGTATTGGTCGTAGATTTGTTTTTTCAAATAATGTTTCGGTAAATACACCTTTTCTAATATTATCTGGATAACAATAAAATCGATATCTTTGATAATATTTTCCAATGGATAATGGTTTTTCGCATTTTTTACAAATAAAAGGTTTTATAAGTCCTTGCTTTTGTAAATAGATTATAGCTTGTTCATCGTCGTAAAGTGTTCAAAATAGTATTTCATTTAGTTTAAACATTTTGATAAAGAAAAAGAAAAATTTTTTATAACTTTATATATTTTGTGTAACTTACCAAAGAACGCTTGTAACCGAAATTATTTGTGTTTAACAGCCGGCAAACATATCCACCTGGAGAGTCAAGAATAGATACTTGCAAACGGGTGTCTAAAATGTCAATCAATAGATATTTCGTTTGTAAGTTCGCAGTGATGACAATTGCTACAAAGCAGAAGTAAGAACTTACTGTTTTCGTTGATGGCTGTAACTTTAATGACTCGAGCAAGAGAACTCTCACCATATCCCTTTGCTAATATTCTTACAAGAATATCTTTCATAATCTTTGGTGTATGCAAATGTTTTTCCACCATCTCTTTTTTTCCGATACTGCCAGCATCCTCTTTACCACATTCGCCAACAGCAATATCAAGATTATTGTGTATCAGCAAGAAGTCGGGGCGAACTGACGACTGCTTATCTGCAATCGAGTTCAATCCAGTTATTGCCCTATTGTTGTTTACTCGAACTAACGTGGAAACACATGCTCGGTCCCTTTTTTGAGTCGTTAATAGAGCACGTATAACCAAATATATAATGCAAAATAAAGTAAAGTAGAATAAAAAATCCCACCTAGCAGCGATAGCGATATTCTCGTAGCACCGGTCCAAGTTGACTCAGCAACGAGCTACAAAATCCATCTCACTGCCATTTGCAACGATATCTCTTAAGGTGTCGTTGCGATACATGTTGAGGAAATCGAGAATTGTTCTTTGTACCCAATCTTCGTCAAAGTGAGTTCGAGGGTTAAAAAAGCCCAACTCAGTCACTGCCTTCCAGATGGTGTCAATGATATCGTCGCTCTTTCTCTCTGAATTCTCGCCATCAACAGTTGCAAGCGCCTTTTCACAGTGATCAAAAATGGATCGAACGCCATCACCAATTGCCAGAAGGCCTGGATCAGTTGCATCAATGATTCTTTTTAACTCTTCCTCTGTTAGTCGACCTTTCCAGCATGAATCTGTTGGATCGAGAATAAAAGAATGAACGAGGCTACAGATACGATGATATGAAAGTTAGTCATAGTAAATATACATGTGCAAATACATATATAACTCACTGTTCAAATTCATATTCGGTTCCAAATTCATACATGGAAAACAATCTTGTTTGCATTAAATGACCAAATTTCAGCTATTCATTTTATTTTCAAGTAAATCCATATAATTATCAATAATTGCTGTATTATCAAGATCTTCTTGCCAAATCCATTCATTATGTGAATCATCATAATCTTTCCATTTAACATAATATTTCATTCGTTTTTTAAATTTTCTATGTTTTATAATTCTTTCAACTTCAAAACTATCATCATCTGTATAATTATCATTTTCTATATCCATATTAATTATTGGTAATTCATTGCTATGATTATCATCAAAGTAGTTTCAAATAAATGCATCTTGTTGATTAGTCATATCTGTAATTCTTAATATATCAAATTCATATATAATGCTATTTATATTATTATTTCTATTAGGATTAGGATAATCAAAGTTTTCATTAACCCATAACAGATGATTTGGTTTATTAGGTATATTATATAACTGACAAAACTTTTGAATATTTAATAATAGAAGTGATAATTTTATTTGTACATTATATATTTTTAAATCTGTAACTTTTATAGTACTTTCATTATTATTAAACCTTTTGAATTTATTGCTAAGAAATCTAAGACATGATTCTATTTTACTTCTAAAACTTCCAAAAGTTTCATTGTATAGTAATTCATTATCATTTAAGTCTATATTTTTACTTTTTCTAATAGGAAACATAAAATTATTAAGATTTATTTTATCATTTCCTTTTCTATCGCAATTATCTATAGATTTTTTAATATAGTAGTAGTAACCACCATCAAATGCTATGCAATCATTTTCATTTAATTTATTTTCCAACTTCATATCTAAAAACATTTGCCCATCATTATAATTTCTGCATGGTTTACTATTAGATACATTAACTGCAAATTCATTAATATCATATATAACTTGTGTTTGTAAACCTGAATTTTTGAATTTATATGAATAAAAATTTCTTTTCTTTATATCTTTATCGTTACAATCTATACGACTATCATGACCATCTATAAATAAAGTCATATTTTTAAAGCCTATAGGATTAAGCTTTTCTGCATTTAATATTCTCAAAGTAGTGGATGAAAACATATTTTCTAATAATTCAGTTATAATTCTATTTAAAATCATTAAATGACTTTATAGAAAATTCATTTTTATCATAATTCTTTATACTGATAGTTTCTATGCTTATCTTTTTATTATTAAAGAAATTCAATTTTTATGTAAAAAGTAAAATTATTGCTCATGTCATGTCATATGATGAATTAAAAAGTCTTGGCAAAAAGTGTTGAAGATGAAAATAAAAAATAAAAATACAATGTATACTTATAAAATAATTGTTCATTTTTTGCTGTATGTTTTAGCATTTAATATATTATAGTGTTTTGAAAAATTTAAATATTCTCAATTCATTATATGTTTAATAAAATTTTTAAATTTATTTATAAATAAATGTTCTCCCATGATATCTTCGAGATAGATATCACTACTATTATCGTCTTTTCGTAATGGCCATTTGTCTTCGTTTTTCATTGCTTCGAATTTTTTTTGATACTGCTCTCTGTTTTCAGCACTCAAAGGACATGAGTCTGTCTTCGAGCTTTCAGCTGTAGAGAGGGATCTCTTGCTTGTAGTTGTTGGTGTTGCTGATAATGACACAATATTATTTGTTGTAGACGAGGCTCTGCTACTTCTTGTGTTTGCAGATTGGATCTCTGGTTCCACTCCATTTTGCTTCTATAAATCAAAAGTTAGAAATATCAAAGGCTTAATGTTATACGATATACATAGCGTAGATAGTTAGATACAATACTTTGAGAACATGTTGTAAATTATCATTCCAATTGGGTTGCTTCTTTGAAAATTTCTGTTCATGTATAAAATAGCAGTGTTAGATATTATCTGTGTTAGTGAACGCTTGTACTTGATACACATAGTAAAGTACTTTATGCACCTTTAAATTATAACTACGAATTGTGGTTATGAATCGTTGTTTCCATGTTTGTACAACTGCGTTTGGGTTCGGCATATCAATAAATTTTTTTTTGTCATGGTTATATAAACCAGCAAGACTTGGGATTCCTTCTTCATTTTCAATGTATTCCTTGATCACTAAATAATTTGTAATATGGTTGGTTCTGGGTTATCAATCCCTTTTAACATGATTCTAGTTTATACAATATATATTACTACGTTTTGTGATTTCTTCATTATGGCTTGGAGGTACTGTGGCTGCGGAATCTGACATTTTGTGGAAGGAAGTTAATGCTGTTATGCTTCGGCAACCGTTGCTGGGTTACAGCAAAAATAATTATGATGTAATAAATTGTGACGTAATCAATGGTGATAAATAACGACTTCGTTAAACACCCAAAAAACTTTTGGTGCATTTCTTCTATCAATGTATTTCTTATGAGGGTTTATCAGGGTAACAACCCAGCCCAAGTGATGTACGTGGAATAACTAGTATCGGGTTGTCCTTACTAGTCCCTCAGCGTGCACTGCGTTATCTTTTGTCTATTTGTTTCTTATGAGGGTTTATCAGGGTAACAACCCAGCCCAAGTGATGTACGTGGAATAACTAGTATCGGGTTGTCTTTACTAGTCCCTCAGCATGCATTGCGTTATTTTTCTTATGAGTCTATTCACAAGTCGATAATAAACAATTGCATTTTTTGAAATGTTCAACTCCAAACAGCTTTACTACTGGGTTACGATGTTTTTTTAATGAACGTTTTTCTAATATTGTAAAATAGGCTGTGTAGAGGCATAGGTTTACAGCTCAAGTTAGTCAATGGCAAGAAAAACAACGACATAGTAGGAGGAAAAATGGTATTATCTTGGTGTTGAAATGTTTGTGGATTCGTTGTCATCTGGTTATATGTCTTACATTCATTAGAAAGTGACTCACAGTATATTCTTTTTTTAATACAGAAACAGGCCACCAGTATGTTACTATCAAGTCGCATGGCTCTTTTCTTCATCAATAAATTATTCGACAAGTTGTTTGAGGGGTCTTTGTTGTTATCCTTATGTTCTAAAATCGAGTGGATAAGATGCTGGGTATTTTTTTATTGAATGCGTTGGAGTATTGTAGTGTTTACCAATGTAATATATATAATTGGGAAGTTGTGATATGATGGTCAAATTTTGACGAGAGTATTATATTATAAGTGTATGTTTTCTACATATGACAGGTCGGCTTCTAGGAGCGAGATGGCAGTAGAGCATCAATCTTGACCAACATGGAGGTGTCTGTGCAGTATCGCCATTCCGAGAAAACACACACACACGCACAAAAAAAATATATCGTGCTATACTTATCCATACTTCTACAATGAGACACAGGAGAGCCGAACACGCGGCCAGAGCAGAGCAGAGAATCGCAGCCAAGGCAAAAGCACTTCTTCTCGCTGAGAAATTAAAAGATCATTAGAGGGCTGCACACACTGTGCTATCTTCATTTTTGACACGGCATGTCCATCCTCCTCCATCCCAAGCTGGATGCAGCTATACTAACATTTGTTATGTCGTTTTACAGAAAAGATATAGACAGAGAGAGGTGGCTCTAAATTAATCCAAGTCCAAACAGACCACCGCAGAACCTGCCTTTAATAGAAAAAAAAAGTATCTATGAGCAGCTGTGTATACTTTTTGACATGTCAGGGCAGACATCTTTCTGGTTTTTCAAACACGCAAAGACAAACACAAGCACAAAATCCTTTCCAGCTATACTTACTGTTATGACATCCTTGGGTTGGAGGAAGAGAGCCTTGAGCTAAAAAGAGGAAAAGCAAGAAGGACACGACGACCAATTCTGAAAAGAATAAGAGAAGAAATGAGAGAGACTGCCATACTGCTCACCTTTGACACGTCATCCCCAGCACCCAGGCCATCCTACTCACCTACCAATGTTCAAGTCCCTTTTTGCTTATCTCTACTATCTGTTACTTGTCCGCCGGACACGATTAACCCAACCAGCATAAGGCGGAACCTGAAGTAGAAAGAAAAGAAGAAAGACCTTAAGCAGGCTGTTCTACATATGCAGCTACTTTTGACACGTCACGGCATCAGCACTCCCAACAGACACTCAGCTTCTCTCCAGCTCATGCTGACATTCCTTTTCCTACCGTACTCACAGCCGTTGCTTGAGCTTAAAGGTGGGGTGCAAATACCAAACCGAACCAACCGTTTCAAAAGGTCAGAATCCTACAGTAGTAGCAGAGAAGAAAGGAGGATAACATTAGTGGCTGTATGCTGTACACACACTTCTTAGACACATCAAAATTCAGATCTTCTTTCGTATATCACATCCAAATGCAAAAACTCAAAGTACACTTCACCCTTTCCATATCGTTCTTACACTTGCATTTCTGCTTTGAGAGCCAACGTGAAGGGGAGAAGGGCCAGGTTAAGACGAGAAGAAGGTCTGTGTCAAAAAAGAAAGAAAGTGAGATAAAGGATCTTGAGAAATCACTGTATACTCACGATCGGTTGCATACACTCTTCTCACTCACCACCATAAACATACTCTCTCCAATCCTCTAATCCGTTCCAATGATACTCACATTGAATAGCTTTGGCTTAGAAAAGTTGACGAGGAGGAAGAAGAGCGGCATGATTGCTGCGACCGCGCGGTTATATAGTAGTAATGATCACACATGCTACGCGGCATTTGAGCGAGTTCATTCTATCCTATCATATTACTCTCTGACGTTTATGACGCGCCGAGGTGTGTGAGTAGACGGGTATCGCATCGAGGAAAGACTCAAGGAGATAACCGTCATTAACACGACAGAAGCTCACTTCAAATCCTTCATCATCTGAGAAGTGTCATCGCTTTAAACACGCTGAATAGAAGTATCAATACAAGTATCAACGTATTCACTACACTATGTATATAGGAGTATCCAAGATCTCATGAGACATGACGGTCCCGCGCTTGCCAATGTTCCATTTGGTGAAAAAATCATGATCTTTGGCGTTGACTTTCGCTAGGTATTCAACATTGTATCCTCTCTTCTACTCTGCATTCTTTTACTACTGAGCGGTAGTACTTACATTAAAGTATCTGCATCAAACCTGATAACAGTTCCTTCCTGTGATACCAGATGATCGCGCTCGCAAATCGTACAGTAGTATCTAAATCGTTCATCAATTTGGCCCAGTGTCACCGTCCACCGCCTTGAAACCAACATGCGCGTCCAACAACCTGCCAACACCAATGACACAAACGAGCATGGCCAGTTCATGCAATTTTTACTTTGCGTTGGTGATGGTGCTGAGCTGTTGGTGCCAGCCACTGACGACAGAGTCCGGCTTCCGGATCGAATGCTCATGCCACATTACAACACGTACGAGCTCATAGAAGCCATTTACGGCAACCTCAACGCACCACATGTGGATCGTGGTTACCTCATCAGTCGCTCTATCTTAATTCCAGAGAATGTCGACGTCACAGCAATCAACGAATTGATACTCGACCATTTCCCAGGCACTGTACACGAATTCCAGAGCGCTTATACAGTGGATGATCCGGAAGATTAAACCACATACCCACCAGAGCTTCTGAATGCAATGAATCCATGAGACCTCCCACCACACTCGCTAAAACTCAAAGTCGGTTGCCCAGTCATGCTTTTGCGGAACTTGCATACCCAAAGTGGTCTCTGCAATAGGATACGGCCGATTGTACGCTCTTTCCAACGCTATGTACTTGAAGCAGAAATAGCCAGTGGACCTCATGCCGGCAACATCGTCTTAATCCCTCGCATAACACTCACACCTTCACAAACACGCTCCCCCATTCTATTTGAACGCCCGCAAGCCCTTGTTCGCTTGGCATTTGCAATAACCATCAATAAGGCACAGGGTCAAACTTTCAACACTGTTGGCCTCTACTTGCCTGAACCTCCTATCACCCACGGTCTATTTCATGTAGCCATGTCACGCGTCCGCACACCATCATCTATTAGAATCATGTTAGCTCCCGAGAACTCAAGTATCGCGGGTCAGCAAGGCCAAAACACCCGAAATGTTGTTTTCCATGAAGTTCTTCTCTAATTCTTTTTGTCGCCTATTCTCTTTTACCTTCTTATCACTACATTATCTTTTTCTACACTTCTTTTCGCATTGCATTTAAACTGGAGATAGTTAAGTATCCAACTTTGACGACTTTCTATGATAGACTACTTCTCACTGAACAATGATCTAGCTTTTGTTTCTGAAAACAGACAATAAGGATCCAATACCAAAACACTGATCCAACCTCGCTCTACAGGGGGGTTTGGGGGGGCCGTTCGGACGCGTTTCCGTTGAATGACACGGAGCGAAGCGGAGGGGCTCATTCATCCGAGCGAAGCGAGAAAGGACCGCTAGTAATGCTTAAAGTAATAATAATTTATTATTTAGTTTGAAGTTTATTTATTGGAAGGTCAATGACGGTATGCTTGTAGCGTTCTTGTCGTTTTTCTTGCAATGCGGAGATTATCAGAAAAAGCCCTCATAAGAGAGATGATGCTTTAACTGAAAATAGTTTTCTAGTGAGGGAAAAACATGCCAGATTAAATATGATATAGAGTACAGATACTTTTAATAAACAGAGAGTATATGTACCATAATAAATAGTGGGTTCATTAGACCGTATATAAGATATTTCCTATTAGTGCAGAAGGCTGGTTTGAAAAGAGGTACGTTTTAATGTAGTATATGCATTTTCTATAAAGAATATCAGAGCATACATGTTTATGCTGTACAATTCGCTTATTACAGTACTCTCCTCCTGTCATTGTATTGTTGGACATCGCAATCAATAAAGACAGCGATTGCTCTTCCTTAAAACCCTGGTTATAAAAGCTATGTAAGAATAGTAAATAAACACTGACATCGCGGTTGTTGCCGTAAAATGATAAGCTTTAATTCACTTATACTTTTGTTTGGGCCTATACACGGCAACATCTGGCTATGCGGTAATCTTGTCCATATCGATGGACAGGAAATAAACTTGTCTGGTACATCAACGATTTACCTCGTCTGGCAAAACAGTGACAGCTTAGTATCACAGAACTCTTTTTTTTGAAGAATCGAGGCATCTTGAAAACAGCATCGTGTGATATGTAGGTTGCCAGTAAACAGCCAGTATATTTATGTGACGTAGATGCAAAGTTTCAAAGCATGTTGAAAAATCAAAGGTGAGTACTGTAGCGATCAAATGTTTCTGCGAGCGTACAGCTTAGGCAACATGCTCTAGTATTTACCGGCTATCTTTGACAAAATAAAATTCTTAGGTTTTTGTCTTAAAAGGCACTACCGGAAGAACCCGACATTACGGCTATAAGGAACCTGCGGCAAAACCCATAGCTACATGGATTTGGTTCAGCTAATCTTAGAATAACTCCTCATCGCATTAGCATGATAGCAGCTACTAGAGTGAACTGCTGTTTGGAACATTGAGCGTTAAAAGCGGAATATGATATTCAAGAAATCTTACTCGCATACAACACTCACTCGCACACAATTCGTTGCATTTGCGATATATTAAGCTTGCACTTCATGTGCCTGCAGCATCAATTCTATTATTTAAGCAGACAACTTCAAGTAAATAACAGAAGTACTGTATCTTAAGTTCTCACATTGTGATCTCACAAGTATCATATTATACTGTCAGTTTCCGAGATACTCGTTTTTTCAAGCTTGTTGGAATGTAGTAGTATCTCACCTCTTGTTTTTTCATTGCCCTATTCAGCTAATACAAAATACCGTACCTTCGCTGTTGGCCAGCGCAAACTTCACTAGAAGCTGTACTTTATTAATTTACATGTATTATTTATGATATCGATTACTAAGAAGGATGCATATCGCTTCATCTACGCTTATGCATCATGATTTATTCTAATAGTTCGTTATAATCAGTCCGATGAGTAAGCATTCACCTATGATTATCGACAACTTTCGACTAAACTTTGAGGTCTTGTGACTAACTTGCTTACTCATTCAGCAAGGTTGATTGATCAAGTTGGTACCAATGACAATGTCAAAATTTTCGTGCCCTTCAAAAGGAATATCGGAAGAAAGAACGTTCTGGCAATATAAACAGCAAACTGCATGAACAGGCCCCCCTTCGGGCGCCGGTGTCGGATCTGTTACAATCCCGGAGTTGTAATCCGGTAGATCTTTTTTGCCAGGTGTATCCGAAACTCGACGGCGAGAAAGGGAATCTCTTTTTTTTACTCTCTCTCCACACACAATGCCAATTCGAGTACCACCAGAAGGCAAGTCTTTTGCTCTGCTATAAAAAGAGCAGAATAAGCAAGCTCTATATCACACACAGCTGTAGCAGGTCACTAACAGGTTAAGGAAAATATAACTGCGGTGTTTAATAGAGCTGCCTATGCTCGAGCAACTGCTGAACATAAAGAATCGCTTAACCGCGCTGAAACGGGATCGCTCAAGCTACCTGCGCACACAAGACATTCTACCGTTGAAAGACGAAACTGAAGAGCAGGTGGAAAAATTGAGCAAGGTTCGTGGCAATGTATTGTTCTCGGAGGATCGCTTGTCAAATCGCACCGACGACGTGCTGGACGAAGTATGTCAGCTGCTGAGCTTATCGTTTTTATGCTTGGGCAAGACTAGAGAAAGTAAAGTATTTTGTCTTACAAAAGAAGGGTATTATTTTTTCACTGGGCATGTTAACTTATTCCGAGAATTACCAGCACCTGCTGTGTACTCTCAGGTGATAGCTATCAAGGTAAGGAAAAACGAACATGCACGGGTCATGCATAAATTTTTCACAAAATTTAATATCTGCTTCTTCCAACAGCAATGCTTTGACAGATTGGAAGAATTTGGAATTTACGCTGAAGAGTTTCTGGAACCTTATGAGAAAAAGTTAAAAGAAATCGGACAAATTCTTGAAATCGACAATCGAGACCAGGTTATTCCCGAAACTGCTATGAAGATCGTCAACATCAAGTTTAAGCAGTGCAGTGAGTTGATCTTGCTTTTTCTTTATAAAGAAAAGTACATTTGCTAATTGGTGCTTTATAGAGCGCATCTATGAGAACTTGCTAGATACGATCCATGAAGTCTCTCCTGAACTGTAAGTGTGTGGATGTGGTTGTGCGATGTGTTCTTTATCTGTCCGTCGGTGTAACAAGATCTCTTCTGCTATCTAGTGTACCGGTACGCAACCAACTATTACGTGTCCGGCGTCATCTAGTATCCGTCGCATGCAGAAAGTCGTTCAAACAATCGGATTTATTAGGAGCCCAGGAGGAGTTGAATGAAATCGATCAGAAGAGAGTGGATGGCAAGTTCATGGGCAAAGACGGGGTCAGTATTCCACCAGGCCAGGCTGTTGTTGTCGGTCTCCTCGAGCAAATTTATGCATACGCACACGATCTGGTCCTTGTAGCGAGCAGCGACTTTTCACCTGCATTACAGACAATCCGTGAACGACTCGTTGAAATCAAGACTCAGCTGGAGCGACTTGAACTTACGCACAAATGGACATTGCGACAGACCGATCTATTCACGTACCAACATCAACTCCATGATATCGTCAGTATGCGATGCTCGGACGAGGAAAGCCCCAATTACGGCAAGTTTGTCGACGAGCGTGGTGAGGCCCCTGAAGGACAGACGGTGTTACTCTTTCTGCTTCAGAAATGCTATCGCATGATCCTTATTCTGCTGAATGAAAGCCTTCCGGTCTCAGAAGCACTGACGCCCATATATAATCAACTGTCCACCGTTCGTCAATGCTTGCTTGCAGTTAGAAATACTGGCGCACCTTGCTCTCCCGAAGAGCTCTACCCGTAAGTTTATATTTCCAAAGTATCTTCTCCGCTGTAGTACTGAACATTTTTTCGGGTGCAGATATCAAATGAAGTTGACAAGTATCGACAATTTACGCCGAGATGGCAAGTTCCATGATGACGAAGGACATATCCCTGAAGGACAAGCAATGTGCGTTTCGACGTTAGAGGAATGCTACAGCCTTTTGGATGAACTTCGTGACCAAAACCAAGGTAGCGAAAGCGCATAAAAACACCATCATCGTTATTTTCTAAATAAGATCCACCACAATCCCCACATAATTCATAATACACTTATGTACAGTAGCATAGCAACCAAAAACTTTTAAAGATAATTACTTTTTTTAAACTGGCAGTGGATGGGTTGGAAGGGTATTCGTATTTGTATTGAATCACACTACAAGGGAAAGAACACAAGACATCTCTATCGGTACAGGAGCTACTCTTAGTCGCTGGGCTGATCATCGTCCGAATGGACGTCGTCGTCATCGTGGGCGATATCCGAATCATCCTATTCGAAGAATAGATTAATACGACTTATTCCCTCTACATCCACTCTACATTCGTTTCCTACCATCTGATATGCGGTTGCACCTTGTTCTAGTAATTCCTTAAGCTCCTTGTTTTGGGGGTTCACCAATGTGATTGGCGTGAGCTTATTACGGTTCTCTATGCTAAAATTCTCTCAGCATAGTCTCTTCGCCGACCAAAAAGTCTCTGGTCCCCCAACCCAACATCCTTCTCTTTTCAGGTGTACAAGTTCAAAGACATACTTAGGGTCAGCACCGGCCTCAAGCAAAATCTCTACCATTGCAACCGCCATGGGGACGTCTTCACTTTGATGTTGCACTGCCTTATGCAAAGGTGTGTCTCCTTCAAGTCTATTTTTGACATCGAAATCAATGTCGTCAAGATTGACGAGCAGTTCAAGACAGCCAATGGAACCGAACTGGGCACTAGAACAAATATTGTACATTGCCTCGTTTTAAATATGCATAATTGTAACATTTCTTCCTTTTTTTTTTCTTTCCACCACACAGTACCTACGCGTAGTGAGCTGCTGTGTTACCGGCACCGTCGACGAAGTTAGGGTCACAACTTCCTTCTTTCAAAAGGTCGCCAAGGACATCTTCCTGATCGTTTCGGCAGGTCGAAAGCATCAATTTATCTATTGTTCACAAGTTAATCGTTGACTAGGAACAAAGTATGAAAGGGCACATTGAAAACGCTAACTTACTGTTGGTTGCACCCTCTTTGGTCATTTTATATGGCTATTCTGGAGAAAAAAGAACAAGTGCTCCAGGTTTACTGTGCTCCACTTTAAACAGCCTAATTCCGTCCCCAGCCAATGAGGAAACTACGTCGTACACATTTTGGTTGTCAAGTGGGGAGTTGCTCCAGCGCCGTTGAGGTACATAAAAATTCCCAGGTTATCGTTATACTTCGTGAATTCACCGTTCGTAAGTCTTTCCTCTTAATACAGTCATTTAAAATCGTCGATAGCAATACTTTAATCCAATGCCTTAGAATATATAACGTGCTTCCTTGTATAAAATTTGAAGAATATGCATGTATTTCATCGATTAGATAACATGGACAACAACTAACAAGTACTTCGTGCCAGCTTCAAATCTCTTGAACTTTACTGTCCTACGAATAAAAGGGGTTGGCGTACCTATATTTGTGTCCTTTCAAGCTGGTCTTGCATTAAATATCAGTAGTACCATTAGCACAACAGCTGAAACTTTGTATACTTTATGCTAATGTACTTTCTTCTGCAGTGTCCTGCAGAAGATTATATAGTGAACAAAGCCATATACTTGAGAAAGCTGGTATATACTTCTCTCAAGGTCGCTTACAAGTATAATGGGAAATGATGATGTCTGCTCTCACCGTTCTCGTCGTTTTTGAGACGACTTAACAGCATAGACGAAACACGTCTTAATGCGTGCCAATCTTGTTGCATATAAGTGTAACGAACTGAGTAAAGTTCACGATCAGTGTAGTTCTCTCTTTAGAACACCGATATTTCAGGCATTAGCGAGCCCGATGGAAATGGAAAACGTTGCACGAACTGTATGTATCACAGCAACAAAAATCTACATGTAGCTAGGGGATCATCTGTTCCCTACTGTCACTTTTTTGAATAACATTTGGGTCGAAATCGTTGAAATGACGAGGGCAGAATTCGTGCGCTCATACCATGGACGACACAATTAGTAGGAAGTGGAAACAATCATCAAGTGACAATACTATGCCAAATATACCTATCTTAAGGAACCTCCGATTCGTAGAAAACAGTCTACACATTTTCTGGCTTCTAATGGTACGAGTTCGTACAGCTGCCGTGAACGTGATTCACATATTACCGAATGACTGCTCTAATTCCTTCTGTGTATACACTTTAGGTGAGAGACAAAGTTATGCTATTAAACATTAATTATGGTATGATTTTACCATAAACGCGCTGTCGTCGACCATGCTTGTTAAAATGCCCGAAAATCTATACATTTTTTTGGATGATCAATGGCACAAAAAGAGTAAGCCGATTATGTATCATCTACAATAATAAGTGATATATATAATGTGTAGCGTTAATATGGTGTTTCTATATCGGTGATTACTATGAATCATGTATATGTGATAAACTCTAAGGAAGGACGAATCGAACGATAGTGGACACGCACATAAATACAATCTTCTACACGAAGTCATAATTTTTAACTGCCCGTACGTACCAAATAAGCGATCGATGTTTTTGCCATGTTACCAAAATTTCCAGGGCCCAGAAAACGCATGAAACATGTAGACAGCAGCGCCGTAATTGGTCACCAGCATTTGGCACCAGTCGTAGCGTTGTTAGCTATTCGACGCCGCCAATAGCATTATATAGACTCTGGGGTCCGTGACCGTTGCCTTGAAAGCTATGTCCGTGGTGAATGCGAATCGTTTGGAGTGAGTGTGCGATGAATAGTGCTTGCTATAACAGTCTTGCCGATAGATGGCTACTGAAGATATGCAGGAAGGCGAAGTTTGCATGATGGCGAGTAGAGCGAATGATACTTGGCACCTTAGCGTAAATCCCAAGCACATCATAGAATCACTGCTCATAGCAGTTGAAGCTGTCAATTCGTCAACGGGTGAGACATCGTGTATCCAGAGGCATTCGTTCTGTTATTTATTTGAAAGCAGTGGTAAGTGCAGCTGAAAAAATCGGATATTAGACTTCGACTTGTTGCTAGAAAAGGTGCAGCGACTGACAGCATGTTGAGATTACAAGAAATGTTACCACGCGTGACATAAGTGGACATTAGATAAACTCAAAAAAAAGCGACTGAAGTAGTCAATATCAGTACAGACTGTTTTCCCAAAAGTAAATTATTTATTAAAGACATGAAGCTGCTGTAAATCAAATTCCTGCTGTATTGATGAGCAACTATGTAGTGATCGAGAAATTTGTTAATGTAGCAGTTTTAATGATTATGATACATGCTATTGCTCTTTTATAAGCAAAGTAGCAATAATATATATGGTAGCTACATAGCCGCTCTCTACTTGAAAACCTGATGATTAATGTCGTTCTTAAGCATCGCTGTGTAGCTTCTGCTTCTCTCTAATTGATGACATACATATATAATTCAGTGCTAATAAAGCAAGCACTGCTCTGGCTCCAAATGATGTACTGATTGTCCTGCAATTTAATATGAAAGGCACATAGTATTAATTTTTTGAAATGGCATTACAGAGACTTTGTTGTAGAAGAACATTCTTTACTTCTTTGTATGATGTAACTGTACGCAATACTTGTATGAGAAGTAAATGAAACGAACGGTTGGATATGCTTATTAAAAACCTTCCATCTTGGCAATTCTTCCGTCTTTGTCAGTTTTTCCACGATTAGTGCATTGATATAAGGAATTAGAACATATAAACGGATTAAATTCTCAGATATGTTAATGAAGATCAAAATATATGCACATATCCCACACATACAAACAGCGGCAGAACCGCTGATAGTGAAATTAAAGCAAAAATGGCTACTATAATTATATGACAGTTGAGATTGATCCGATAATTTATGGTACAAGTGCACAATACTTTCTTTGTATTTAATAAGAATGGTTTTCATTCAAATGGAGAATGCTACATAATGTAATGTTAATTAGATAAATGAAAACTTTAGAGTAATATTATTAAATAAACGGTCGCATGGCTACATCTTGCACAAGGGGGTTCGAGGATGGATGATGGAGGAACAAAAACAAAGTATACTAAGGGGTAAAGAAAGGGGCAGGTTAGATAGGAAGTGGTGAAGCAAATAGCGACGAGTTGTAGCCGAAACCAGTACTTGTGACGAGAGATAGACTAGAACAATAAAGAAGGAAAGAAAAAGAGAATCTAAGAGCTTCTTCCTTTAATTTTTAGGGGACTTTTCTCGAGGGAAGAAGAGAGAAAATGGACCCTTTTAATGCTGTTTCTATTATGCTTGTTTTTTAAGCCATCAGACGGGCAACGCCCGCGAGTAAGGCGGCAAAGAGCATAAGGGACGGCATTGCGGATACAGAAACGGCAGAGCTAGGTGAGTTGGAAGCGCCAGGTACGACGCCAGAGCCAGTTGCAGTGCTTGCATTCTGGTTGACCTTTTGGTCAAAGCTGGGGAAAGTGACGACTTGTTCGATGTAGGGGTGCGAGATGTTCATGCATGTTGCAACGTCGACCACGTGCTTGTATGCATTTTTGATGGCTGGATAATTCTTGATTGCAAAGTCCATGGTCATGTTATTGATTTCGTGGCTCAGAACAATGTTGCCGCCGTTAGCAAAGGTGCCGTTTGAGCCCATGGTTATGAAATTTTGGTAGTTTTGATCGACAGTCTGAGGTGTCACACCCGGAGTCGTACCAGCTGCCCAGTCGTCGGTATCAAGATTCCAGAGGATTGCAGTGAAGTTGAGCTGTGTTGCAATCCAGCGAACTCGGTCATCTAGGTCGCCCAGGGCCTAAGATTATAGTAATAGTAAACCAATCGCCAATTAGTGAAAAAGACTCCCCGATCCTCTAGCGCATCTATGCTGTATGTCACCTTTCAACCCCCTCCCCTTCCCCACTTCCCCGTAATTCTGCTCTCCCTCTCAGAAAGGAGATACTATTTCGAGGCATGGAAATTGAGAGTAGAATCAAAAAGCGAAGGGCTGTTCAACTTACAGGACGCCAGTAGAGAGGGGTAACACCCGTGACGTACTTGATGGCCTTGGCTGAATAGTACAGTTCTGCAAGAACCTCCTGGTTGTTTAGCGTAGTCATCATCTTGTGGGACCAGGTATGACCTGCAATGTGGTGGCCGTCCTTGACACCGCGCAGTGCGCCATAAGGCCAGTTGAGAACGTTAGAGCCAATGTAGAACATTGAGGCTTGCTGGTTGTTTTGTTGTAAAAAGTCGTAGAAGGCATTGTGCGAGCAATTGGGTCCGTCATCAAATGTCTAAATGATTTTTATATCCTTGCTTAGTCAATTCTCTTGTATCTTGTAGATGACACAGACACAAACACAAACACACGCGTATGTGAACAGAAAAAAAAAGGAGAAGCTAGCAAAAAATAACAGATCGCACTAAGGAGGCACGTATTCAACAAAATGGAGTAGCACTTACAAGACCCCAAGTTTCAGGCTCTGGACAACGGCTGATATCGGCGTAGATGCCTTCATGCTTGGGCGTTGTGCACTGGCTGGAGGACCACCAGCAGTCGGGATCGTTCTTAGCGTCATATCCGACCATGTTCAAACCACCAGCAGCGGTTGCTGTGCGCACGGGGATGTTGGGAGCTTTTGTCCAGTCGATGGAGTTGTACAATTGTTGGAACTCTTGGCTGGTGTTCATGTTGTTGCTTGTAGCAACGTCCCAGTTGGTGGGCCATTCGGCCGGATTGACGGTGTAATCAGAGTTGTAAAACTGGCATTCGGTCGCTACGTCCCCAGAGGTTGTCTGGGGGATGTCAGGCATCGAGATATTGGTCGGATCGGTCTTGGTGGCTGAGAAGTTTGTCTTGACCTCAGCATGAGCGAGCCCAAGCATGCAGGCTAACAGGGCGAGGTAGTAATGAATCATCTTCTTTGCCAGTACGAGTTAGTGATAGAAGAAAGAAGCAATATATGAAGAAAACAAGTGGATCGGTGTAGAGAAAGAAAAGGAAACGAAGAAAGCAGCTAACCCTCGCGAAATTTATAAGGCGCGGGCAAGAAGGGGGGGGAGGGAACTTCCACTTTTTTACTTTATATTAAGAGCAACCATAGAGACTATGTATGATGTGGTGGATTATCATATTTCGAGTGTGGATGGCTTCTCCTTTGGAGCGCGCTTAATTGACTAGCTGTTTTTTGATAAAAAGTACATTTGTGGCATCAATTGCGTTCAAGCTAAGTTTATAGAAAAATGTTCTCTAAATTTAGCAAAAATTCTATGTTTGTTGTTGTCACTAGACTGGAAAAAAATTAAAGGATCGGTGCGAGACTTCATCGTCAAACAGAATGCCGGTGGGGGAAAGACACATCATGCACGCACTACGCATATCACGCAATCACAGAGCATCGTCATAGCAACAAACAGTACGGATCCGCCGTGTGTTGCAGATTTTGTCGTCTTCAGTACAGAAGCTTTTGATGGCTAGCTTGTTACGGACAGTACACCCTGACAATAGTGTGAACACAAATTCTGTAGTCAAAACAACTTTGTGCTGGATATATTTTATCCGTGCTGGTATAATGTAGCATCTCTGCTATGCGGTTTCGGAAATCCAGCCGAACAGGGCAATCAGAATCAGAATAGCCAAAAAATAAATATGGTACAAGATGTAGAAAAAATACACATATGCAGCTAAATTCGGGGGAAAGCAGGCACAAGAAAGAGAGCGCGAGCGAGAACGACAGCCATACAGGGAGGAGGATATGTATGATACGGAATACATTACAGATTGTCACAAATTACTTTTCAGGGCCACACCACACTTTGAACAGCAGGTGCCACTGACCCTCTTGACGAAGAGACCACAATCGCCACACCAGACATGGTCCATCAATTCCAGCAGTTCCGGCTGCGGAGTGAACCCCGTCCGTCGCATCCAGACCGACGACGGTGGTCGGAGCGGGGGCGGTTGCGGCAGGATTACTCCATCGGCGTAGTAGTGGTATACATCAGTCTGTTGTTGTCGTTTGTCGCTCTCCAGTATGTCAGAGTTACGCCGTGAATAGGATTCTTGCAGTGGTGCGAATAGGAAGCCGCATGCGAGGCAGGTTAGCTCGTTCGCAGGTGACGGTGGCGATGTTGAAGGTGGTGGTGCTTGGCGTTCTTTTCTCGGTATACAGCAAAGCAACCGGTCTAGTATTCGCCACTTTTTGTTATTTTTATGATTATTCACAGCTACCGCGTCTTCGTGACAAGCCGGACAATAAGTGCCGATAGGGATGACTGCGTTGCTCGGTTCGTTTGGATCTAATACAAGCGTATGGAGGAGAGGAAGGTTATTCTATTTCATGTAGTATACGTTTAGGCTTATTGTTTTCGCCAAACCTCGAAACCGCATTATTATTGTGTACACTACAGCGTTGAAAGAGGGAGAAAGGTAGAGAAAGACTAGGCTACAAAGGAAGAGGGGGGAGGTACAAAGGGTAAATTGTGCCAGTACTTTTTTCAAGTATCCCGGAAACAGATGGTGTAACAAGGTCCCGGAAAAAAAAAGAGGGCCACGTTTCGTATACATAGAAAGAACTAGCCTAAAATAGTCTACTGAGGCGAAGGAGCTAGAATTACATGTACAAAAATACTACGGAGTAAATTGTAAAGAGGCTTCTCTTCTGCGCCCAACTGAAAAAAAAGTCGTCAATAGGTCATCTTGCTAAAATAGATACTGTTCGATCGTCAAAACATGGGTAACAACGCAGCGCGTGCGACCACGATAAGCAAAGCCCAGTGGAGCCTCTATCTAAAAAAGGGTTTGCTGTTGTGTGTATCATGCAAATGATAACATATGCTATTCAGATGGAGTCAGTAACAAATAACAAACCTACTGTTAATTATTACTACTGTTATCAATCTAGTGCACCAGGCAATCGCATGTCTTGCAAAGATTTATATAAAAACACACAAGGACTATTATGCTGTCGATCCATTCCCCATCGTCATAGCCTGTAACTGCTGTGACACACGCGCATGACCATGATGCTATTTTTAAGATATGTTATACGGACAAATATAGAGCTTCTTAAAACTGCCAACCGATCTGATGTCGGCAAACCTGATACTGTAGTATGCAGAGGCCATGTAAATACTTGCGATGCTTAATATAATAGATTCGCTGTATCCTCTGTATCCTCTGCAGCAATATTCATCGACGATCATTGACGATGATAAAAGGCTTGGTATAAACAAACAGTACGCACAAATCTAAAGCACAAGCGAGGGTTTGTGCATTGAGAACATATTGTTTATTTGGATGCACCTGTACTCGTACAGACGACATATCGGCTTACTGTGGTGAAAATTCCAAAACAATGTGAATTTCTCCACTGCCAATGGGATCCAATGGAAGCCAGCGATCGCTTCGTGTTTGATCAGGACGAATGAGATCCCAGATATTCCATCGACTATCGCCAAGATCCACTGCACGGCTAAAACGATTATAATCCTTGATCTTAAACCGTATAGCTGTAGGTTGACCTGATATCTCATTCACGAAGGACTCTTCCCTGAAACAGAAAAGAATTTGATGTTATTTTTCCCTCGCGTTATTGTTGTAAGACTCTCTTTCTTACCATGTGGGTGCCAATGTTTTGGATATTGTTTTAGTCTTGTATACCGGCTGACCACCGATACGCACGCGTACATAAGGATCACTGGTTCCTGACTTATCCACACCCTGAAGTCCTCGTGCTTCAATGATACGAACCGTAAGCTGACCGTCAACACCGACTGTATCCGACAAACCATTTCCATTATCAATCGTTGTCGCTATCGATCCAAGATCGGTGCTGCTCCGTTGGAGGATTCCAGATCCTGCCTCTGATGCTGTGCGACTATGCATTCCACCACCTTCACTAAGTGCAAGGCTGGACATGGATTTCATCGGTTTGGGTCCATTGGCTAGGTCTCCTAGTCCACTGCTAGACGCTGACGACATGCTGGTGCTCGTGCCAATTCGTGTAGTGCTGCCCAAGACGGACGTTTGTGTTTTTCTCTTTACCAGAAGTTGTGGCTGCCACAAGAAACGTACACGGATGCTACCCGTAACACCAGCTACACCATCCAACGGAATATTGACATCCTTGGATGCAAAACTTTCAACCATGTCACCGCGAAGCGTAATGCCACCCGAACCTAACAGAAAAAATAACAAGATTAAGCTTTTGGTTTTTTTCCTTTAATTTACATGACATTTTTGTGTTACCGATGGGCTCATCGCCTTGAATTTGGTTCCAGTCAAACACTTCGATACGGAAACTTGCAGTAACACGTGAGTGCTATCATCACAAACCAGCCATCAATAACCTTTTTTACATATCGTGCAAACCTTTCGCAGAACTCGTAAATTTGGGCACTTACAATGGGCACAGTAAATTGCTCGTTTTTCCAAACAGGATTTAAAGTCTTCTTTACAACTCCACTCTTGTGTACGCGGTCACCATTGACAGTAAACACGACATATGGATCACTTGTACCTATAACATATATCCAATTGAATAAAGAAAAGAAGCTTGATGTAAACACATATATATATATTTATACAACTTACCGGACTTATCAGCGGCTTTAAGATCAACACCACGAATCAGAGACGCCGTCAGTGTTCCTTGATCTAATAGTAATTGTGTCGCTGTGAGTTTATACAGCGAATATACCTATTTTTAGATGCTCTTCAAAACGTACTATCGATGCTTTCATCAGGGCTTAAAATGAAGCTACTCATGGGTATATAATCGAAGCTGAGACGAATACGACCTGGATTTTCAGTACCGCCGCCAAAGAGACTGAACCATTCACTGTTGTCGCCATCGTCATTCGCACCTCTCTCTTGATTGCCGCGTCGTTTATTTTGGATATGGCGAATAATGCCTTTGGTACCATCAATCCAGTAGCCAATCTTGGTATCGTCCTTTTCATCCGACGTAGCAGGCTTCACCTCGATTGCCAGACGTGAGATATCAGCCTCTTTAATAAACACATCTGTCGTTTCATTGAACGATAGTTTACGGCCCTTCAATCGAGCAGTTTTGTATTGTGGAAGAAGAGCATCTGCAACAACTTGACAGTATGCATAAACATGTCGTGAAAACTCGACTTCGTGGATTTTGATACGCAAGACACCAGAGGAATATGCAGCCAGATCGACCAAATCATCGGGTGTATATTTAATAAAGCTGCCGTGAAGGTCTTGGAGAGGTAAGCCAGAGCCGTCTTGGTCAAGTCCATTCTCGGTATCTTGACCGGGGCTGTCAGCAGGATTAGGCGATTCTGGATCCTGCTTTTCGATTATAGGCGATTGTCGTGATTTCGGTAACGTCAGTGTAGGGTGGAACTCTGCTCTGTAGCGCAGCTCCCCCTTTCCAGGTCGACGATCAGCAGATCGAAGCATAGTCCATCTGCTTAGAAAGCAAAAGTTAATCAAAGAGAAAAAACACGGATCCTATATGTAACATATATCTGGTGATACTTAACTGGTCAATTACAGCATCCGTTGCTTCGTACCACTTGTCCGGATTCTCACTCTGATCACCAACGCGCAGCTGGACAAGATCCTTCAAGCTAAGTTCAACCAGGCCAAGCGACTTGTCGCGCGTTTTGGCGTTCCAGTCCATGACTTCGAGCACAAGATCTTCCTTGGGTGTGTGAACGGGCACATAGAGGGTTTCACCCCACTCGGGCGAAAGGTTGTTGTCAATAACATTCGTGCGTTCGCGGATTTGGTAGCCCGATAATACTCGGACGTATGGGTCAGATTTGCCAGAAGCGACATTTTCAACATTGCGCAGGTCCCGTGCTTCCCAGAACGTGAGTCGCATCACACCGATAGGAGGTGCTACACAGAAACAGCAAAGTTAGGCTTCTTTTCCTTCTCATTCTAACTAACTATTGATTTCCCTAATATATACCGTCGTAACCATGGCGGCCGATTCCATCACGAAGTCCTGACATAATGACTGGCTTCCATTGTGCACTTAATCGAACGTATCCGACTGATTCATCATGCATTGATAGTGGCCACCATCCTTCATTTTCTTCTTGGAACTGAAGCATTTCACTCAGATGGGCAGACCAAACACCTAAGAGCACGTCCTTGTGCACGGTGCTACGATCCTTGACCTCGACACGGACAAACACTTCGCTCTTGTCAAGAATGGCAGTCTCGCCGGGAACTTCAAAAACTGGGCTAATGTTGCGCCATGCTGGTGACGTGCGGATACGCTCCTCTCCGTTAATGATGACACGGACATAAGGCAGCATGCGCGAAGGACCTTGTAAGTTCTGACATTCATGCACTGTAACGCGAAGGATAGCTGAGTCTATGGACATAAACGGTTTAGTATCTTCAACACATTACATGTATATTATGCATACTTGTTTGTTGTTTGCGCTGGAACACTTACTTGATTCAGGTGCAGGATCTACTGTGCCATCTTCATGCTTGACAGGCTTGGATACTGGGAAATAACGCATATCCACCTTCAGGTCACTGATTGCGTTACCCTTGTGCAACAGTGCCAGATCACTAAAAAAAAAAGATGCGACTTAGAATCGAATAGTTTCTCCTCTATTTTCAAAAAAAAACATACAGTCCCTCTTGCTCGTAGCGATCCTCATCGTCCAGTTCCCGCAAATCAAAGTATCCTGTAGCTACTCTGTCATCTTCAGCATCCGGATTCTTTGTCTGAGAACATAGCTCAAGACAAAGTTGGGCGTTCAAATTATTCAACAGCAAAAATCGCGTTTCGTTCCAATCCGGCTTCATTGTGCTTGAGCGTACACTGGTACGACCGAGCTCTTGGGTAGTGTCAAGCGAAAATCGCACATATGGATTGAGTGTGTGCTTTGGCCGTGTTGCAAACGGCCCACCATCGCTATTGGCTGGGTCCAATGCTGTTGCATCATATACAGTGACTGCCAAGATACCGTTTGCTTGGGCTGTATCAAAAAGAGAGTAGAGTTAATACAACACATGAAAAGCGTAAAATGACGAAATAGTGTAAAATTACAGATATCGTGCTCTCCGGAAAAGAACTTTTCTACATCAAACGTAAATACGTTTGGGAGGTACATCATGGGGCCTAGAATAGCGTGCGCTTGATCGCGAACAAACGTTTGCAGGCCTGGAATCTGAGAACATTATTCAGCAACATTGCCCCCACATTATGCTATTTACCAAACCTAATTGCAACGAAAAGCCTAAAAGACTTACCACGTTAACATCGATACCCAAATTGTCTGTACCGAATGGGCGCAGGTTGTAATCAAAGTCAGGCTTCTCCAAAAAGCAGGCTTCGAAAACCTTTGCATAAGGGAACTTATTCATGAAGCGGATCTGGACACGCATATGGCCGTGGAACGAGATATCCTCGACTTGAACAGGCAACACAGCACCCATCAGGTTCTTTGTCATGTGGATGTTGATCTTGATTTTTGGATTCACCTGTCTGTCCAACTCGCCCGGAGTCAAGTCCGAGCGATCGCTCGGGATAAATGACACCCGCCAATCCATGCACTAACCAAGTAGAACATAAGATTACGCATGCTTGCTGTTGAGTAACCGTTCTACCAGAATCCCCCATGCCGCTACCCCCGATAGCAAGAGTCTAAAGGGCATTCTGAGATGTCTTCTCGGTCTCCTTACCACAGTATCCGGATCTGTGTTCAAGTAGGTTTTGACACTCTCAATCCGAAAAGGCTTTGTGCCAAGTGTGAGGGTTGTCAGTTTCACCGACTCCACAAATGGTGGTAAGTACTCGCCAATGACGGCATCCAAGTTTTCCAGAATAAGGGAGCATAGCACAGGCTCGAAAATAAGCCAGAATTTGCCCATAAACGCATTCATCCATTCGACAGGCTCTTCGTCGGCTTCCATGTTCATCTTGGATAGTTCACCCTGTAGATTGTTTCGTTCGTTTCGACGATAACGACGCGTGCTTGCTTGGAAATAAATTGCTACAGGGCAACAATACGATTATTACATCCAATTCTTTCCATATACTGTATGACCAGGACTAACAGAATCTTTACCAAAAACAAAACAAAACCCAAGCACAACGCCTAGCTCGCCTCCTAGCTTTCCCAAAAGAAACGCAAAGAGAGCCGTCGCAAGCAGCGCTGCGATGTTATGGTACCACTCGCCATAGAACGCGCCGGGTATTTTCTCCTCAATAAGGTCCTGCAGCGTGGTAAAGGCCTTTGCCGTGTTGGTGCTACTTGCTAGACTGACGAACGACGGGTCTAGCCAAGAAGCTACGTTTGAATGAGCCAGTGCGGGAAAGGCCCCTATTGTTGGCAACAGAGTTTCTTGGGAGAGGTTGGTGCTTGCATAAGAATCGTCGGGGGCAGTAGCAGCCAAAGTGTCTTTCTTGTCAGCATTTAGGTTAGATTTGTCTCTACTGATAGTGCCTTCGTCATGCTCCATGCTTAACGGTGCGGAAAGGATTTTGAAAATGAAAAGGTCAATATTTTATGGCGCGTTCACTTTTTTTTTCTCTTCAGCACAAGAGGAGGTGAGAGGGGGGCAAAACGGCAAAGCAACAATACAATAATTGTCTCCATTGGGCAGTACTCCGAACAGTTCTACATACTAGCCAAGCATAATAATTGAAAAGCAAGAGTAATAAGGAGGGTGCTGCCTTACTACCACGATACATAATACAAGCTGGTTTTATTATCATCTTACAAGAAATCTTGTTACTCCTCTTCCAACCCTTCCCCCCCCCCTTTTTATCGTCGCCTTATTCGCGAATGTGTTTCTCTTTCATTTTTCTGCATGCAGAAACAGATAAATACATCCGTCTGCTAGCTACATAATCTTGTCAAGTTGCACTCGACGTTGTTCCGAAATCTCCATCGAATCAGGGAGTCACTCGAATGAACGTTGTGTCACCCACGATATATAATAAGTTTTCATTCTTTTCGCTTGAAATCCGATGTTCTTTCTCTTTCACACTCTCCTCCGCAATACATTCATGTCGCCCACTACCACAGCCGCTAACCCGCCTGTCGATCTCAGCAAGGTCCGCCTTGTTGCCTCTGACCTGGATGGTACCTTAATCGTAGGCAGCTTCAACGGGTATGTCTGAAGATTGCTGATATCATCCAGTGAGCACTGCAACCAAACTAACGTGGTTTTTTTTTCTGACACCATAATCTTTTTTGTTCGACTATCTAAGCGGTAATTTGACTCAAAGAACCATTGATGTGCTCCACGCACTCGAAAAGAAAGGTATCCGCATTGTGTTTGCCTCAGGACGACCTACACGGACCATGATCCCTGCAGTGGAGCAAGCCGGACTGTCCAACTTGATGGTGATCTGCTGCAACGGCGCACAGGTCGTCGACAGCCACACCAAGACGATTGTCAAGAAATTCTCCATTCCAGCACATCATGTGCAGGAGATTGTGACCAAAGTCAAGGCTGCCCTGGGCGATGAGGCCTTTATTGGAGTAGAGTGTGACGCTCAATTCAAGTGCGAGCAAGGTTACGCCGACAAGCGCCGTCCTTTCATGAACCACGCACACGTCATTGTCGAGGATCCCCGAACGGACTTTTTCCAGACCGAAGAAGATACGGTTGAAAAGATCATCATTGTCCACAAGACCTGGCCAGCTGATCAGCTCAATGCTTATCTTTTGGAGCACGTCTTTTCTGAGAAATCGTGGATGGATGTGATCTACCCGACCTTTTCGAGTATGCATTTTGTAGAGATTTCCGCTGCCGGCGTTTCCAAAGCAACGGCGATCCAGTATCTCTGCGAAAAACTGGATGTCGCAAAGGAAGAGGTCATTGCGTTTGGTGATATGCCCAATGATATCGAAATGATCAAGTTTGCTGGTAAATTTTAATTGATTGCATGCAGGAGCAAAAGAAGCGGGATGTTGTGCGTGTGAGTGTGTCCGCGTGCTTAGTGCTAAAGATGACTTCACTCCTTTTTTGACAGGTATCGGCGTTGCAATGGGAAATGCACACGCAAAAGTCCAGGAACTTGCTGGTAAGATTGCTTGCGTTTATTCAGGGGTGTGTGGTCGTGAATGCTTATGGATACTTGACTAAAATGCTGTCAATTGTCCTACGACTTAGACATGGTTACTGTAAACAACGTTGACGATGGCGTTGCTGTTGTCCTGGAAAAGATGCTTGCACAATTATAATAACTTTTGCCCCCAATTATCATCCCCTCCCTTTTCCCTCATTCTTGTTATTCTGCTCATTCCCGCCCTGTTCTCTTCTCTCCGTGTATAATTTGAGAAATATATAACCCACGATCTGCATTAAGATCTTGGTTTTCTTGCAAAATTGGACATCATTGCCAAATCGGGTCATGTTCGTTTGATTTATCTTGTGTTATTTACATGATGGTTGTGCGGGGAGAATGAAAGTTGAAAGGATCGTATTATCTAAAGAGAGACGCCTTTCGATGTTAAATCGGTTTTGGCCAGTTGGATTTCCTGCAGAATGATTTTCTTTAGCATGAAACTTGTAGTGGCAATATTACTTTAATTATACACTTACACCCATGAGCTCTGTATACGCATCAGGACAGTCGCTGAAATTCATGACGTGCCAGCCCAAGTAACCCAAGCTATACGATCCGAATGTAACAAGGGACCACCATGGAAACTGTTTGATGAGTCATATTAGGTGAGATTGAAAAGGTTTTTGGTTCGCGCTAACCATTGCGCTTGCACTAACTAGAAACAAAAAATGATAGGCCTTACCACAGGCACGATCTTATTTTGAATGACCTCTGGAAGAGGAACGAGCCCAAACAAGAGGACCAAATATACTACTGCTGCTAATCCAAGTTTTGTGAATGCTTCAGTTGCTCTTGTCATTTCTGATGAGGTGCTAAAAAAGGAACGGGAAGGGCACGTACCCTGTGGTCATGATCAATTGAATTGGTACATTGATTGCGCGGAGTTCAGCATTCTTCAGTAACTCGGCGGCATACTTGAGGTATGCCTAATTGCAACAGAAAGTAATGGAACAGCTATCAATAAATGTATATGAAGTACGTCCATTGTGAGCACTACCAAGTATATACTACAAACCTATGCTGATGCAGCCGCCCATGAACGTTGAAGAAGCTATTTTGAATAGCAATCAAACTCTACACGATTGAAAGACATCTCGCTTTATACAAGGAAAAGTGATCCAGGAATGCACGCATGTGAACAGTTGTTCGATTTTATGTATACACCCTCCTCGTCACTCTATACTCTTGTTGTTGATCGTCACCAACATTCCAAAAGATTAATTAAGGCATACCTCATTGGAGAGCATAAGAAAGTTGTTTCTCATACTCGCCACCTCGTAGAACCCTGCGGATCACTTGGTTCTTCGATCGACTATGGATACTGTATAATATACTGCAGCCAAAAATTTTATCGTAGACGTTGTACTGCTGACATCAACGCGGAATCACAATCCGGCTATAAATGTTGGCTTTTTGTGTTAAACGTACCATCGTGAAGCCAGGTTGGACAGTTCCACCAAGTGTAAAGCTTTCGTGCATGAGAGTCCCTCGTGCGGGAACTGATAAATGCCAGCGCGCTATGTGCGGTAACTGTTCTAATACTCGCATTACTATAAGACCTCTTAAAGCTATCACTATCGGTTTCTAACAATGCTGTTTCTTCTGTGTTAACTTGGCAAACTATTTTACATTGTCATGACGATGTTCTATTGAGTGTAGCCGAACTTATATTCGTGCTGTAGATTTTCCAAAAGTTTTGGTTGGTTGCCAGCTGAAGGGCGTTTGCGCTTGCAGCCGGCACGAGTAAGCCCCAAAACTCTGCAGACGGAAGGACGAGAGGTGGTATCTGTCTTTGCGCACGTTTCGCACTTGTTCGTGAATTTTTTAAAAATGCTTCGTCAAAGGAAGCGTCACGCCTAACCCGTTGCTAATACAAGATGATTTAAACTGGTTTAAAAAGAGAAAGAAGAAACACATTTCCTAACGACAGCAGCAACACGATGCTACGATGACACCACCAAAATCTGAGCGACCGAGAGTATTGAAGCAACCTCACCTTCTCAGTAATTATTACAAAGTTTGAAATCCATAACGCTATCCTTTATACACCTCAAAACACTTCCCATCTCCCCTCTTACGTAATCATAAGTTGTATTCAGAACGTATATGAAACGCGCATTGGCGCTTTGTCTTCAATTACAGTCCCTTCGTACCTAACATAATAATTTCGTAATTCCACACTCTTTTGTTAATCCTGTAAACATCAAGAAAAACAACTATTCTTAATCACACAATTGTACGTTCCTTGGCTTCTTTCCCTCACATCTCATATACACGTGATTTGAAATTAAAATCGACAGAATAATTTGTTGCGCGCCATAAAAAACGTTTCGAACAAAGATTATGGCGCTCAAACATGTACTTCGACAGCCGTTATCCAACAGCTTTTTGTTTCATGAAAGAGGTTTGATGCGGTTATTTCGTATCGTAGGATCAACCAGTCCAGAAAAAGGTTGCATTCTGTGTTGTTTTTGAGCCACACTACATACTCCTGCATATATTTGAGCTCGTCTGAATCTAGATGGCCCTCTTAATTACAGCGATATTATGCAGCTTGGACGGTTTACTCGACGCGATTGCTGCCAAAGACAAATGTGTATGAACAAGATGTTTGTGTAAAACATCGCTTGCATCTAATGGTCAGAAGCCGGTCAGGTTTGCTTATCTGTGGATCGCTGTTCTTTTAAGGGCGTTACTTCTATCGGTGTCCGCGGTACTCTAGGCGATTTGCACATACCTAATGCTGCAAAAATTATGATGTTTAGGTTTGATGATAATATATACAGAGGAATATTAGTCGGTCATACCATATCTCATAAATCTTTTGACTGGCAGTTTAATCAAACATTTCAATACCGGTCCACACTTAGTTACATTCAGGACGACGCTACCAGATGGTATTTTATGAGGACACGGCTACATAGTCCCGCAATTACTAAACAGAAAGTGGTGAATTCGATTTAGAAGAGATGGAAAGCAACAAGAAAACCACCGTATCTTTGATCATACATAGACATGAGTATGATATGCATAACACATCTCAGTAAAAAACGACATAGTTACAAAAGAAGCAATAACTGAGCCTTAGCTGCAATAAAAGAAGCTATCAAACATGCAAAAATATACAAATGCAAGGTAGTAGAAAGCATATGCAGTGACCGCTCGTTATAGTGATATGCCCAGTGAGACCCAAATCCCATCACTATACAGTATCGAATTATTACTATATCGAATTGTAGTTCCTTCAATGATACCCGGTACACAGATTAACCGGGGTATTTGGCGAGCTCTACAAAAGAAGCTCCAGAATCACGTCCTGTCAAAATTGATAGTATGCAACTCCTAAAAAATATTACTGTAGGAGAAGAATAGTAGAGAGGCTGGAGAAGAAGCTGAAAGACTTCTATCTGATGAGCTTGATGCTAGGATTTTATATACTCATGAGGAAGCATGTGGCATTGATGGTATTGATTTGATACCACATGAAGAATCGGAGGATATCCATCTATCAACTTCTTTCAACGACCTCATTGACGATGCTATTCTTGATAGTGATTAATGTACATTCATAAAAGGCTGATGTAACAGCATATGTAAAAGTCATAGCTTGTTTTTATTACAGACAAGTAGATGTTGATGAAGAAGAGATTAACCAGAGAAGACGAGATGAGGAGAAGGAAGCATTGAAGCCACTGCATAGTAAAAGAGAGAGGAAACAGTATATGAGCGATTTATTGAAAACAATGGTGGTGAAGAAGACCTGGATGCTCAGTTAATTAGGCTTATTAGACAAAAGATGCGCAAACTAGACTCTGTGATATCAACCAGCGCACAGCAAACTGATCTTTTTTCCTTTTCTGATAAACAAAAATATACTATTGGTCCGCTCGATATAATGATATTTCTGATGGTTGATATCACATATCACAATAGCGAATTAATAATGATTCCCTGCTTAATTTGATTTGGACCCCAAAAACCCATCACTACATCGAATATCACTATAGCGAGCGGCCACTGTGGTTGTTTCGCGCATCGTCCATTTTTATACCCTCTTTTATATGATAGCATGAAAACAGGAGTACTACGCACTTTTTTTTTAAAAAAACAAGCAATATTGTAAGCTACACAGCCTAATCAGTCAGGTTATGTACGTCGTCTTTTCAGTGGCATCTACGCGTTTGAATAGCCATTTGATGGGCTTATACTCTTTGTCTAGATTTGTGATAAATAAAAGATTTGGTATGCTACAGTGCTCAGAAACTTTTTATTTTGTATCTATTTAATAGTAGCAGCTATCTTTTAACACCATGTTTTCAGTGACTCGCGAAAATAAATTACTCTCATCAAAGTTATCTGTTATAATAGGAAGTCGACACTTCCCACACACCACATCACCGCGGCATTTTACCAAAGATAGTAAGATAACAGCATGATGAGCAATCATGATTTCGAAAGGCTTTAAAAAATTAGTACCTTTCCAAATAACTGTGTAATAGTATTGGCCATATCAGATTTCTCGGCTGTCCGATTTGGCAGAAGCACCGCCCGCCCCTTCCCCATGGCGGTGACTATGACCTGGTTGAATGCGGTCCCGCCAGGAGGAACCCGGCGAGAACCTGAGAATTACTATATGCTTACTTAACCTTGAGATGTTCTCTATTACGATCAATTGCATAGCTGCTAAATCCCTTTTTACTAATTTGTCTACTGGAAAGTTTCCGTTATGACATCCGCATTTCCTCCGTCATAATTTCCGCCTTTTCCGCCTTTTCCGCTGGTCACGGAAACCCAAGACTGCTAGATAACCATAGAAAGGAGCAATACATCGAATGATAAAAAGGTATTTATCCATGTCGTGTAACGTCGGCTATGGTGAACTGATATGGTGTTTTACAGTGTTGGATTATTCACCGTGAATATTCGGAAAGCTAAAATCCACGCCGTGAAAAAGTGAAAAATGTACGTGAAAATTCCAGCGTGAATAAACCTTCATTACTTTGAAATGCCTAAGGGAGAGCAAGAGAGAGAGAAAGCAAAGGCTCCAGAGTCCATTTATAAGTATAGGAAGGTTTATTCACGCGTGAATATGTACATTCTCACTGTCCGTGAAAAATGGTCAACGTGACTAATGCCAACACTGGTGTTTTATGCTTTGTTATCTTATGCCTACTTCTAAACAAACGACAAGGGGAGTTCACAGTGGCAAAAGGATGGGAAACGATTACTATATAATTTATTTGCAAGGAACATTGAGAAGCATCACACCGTCCCATCGTATACCTATGGCTTCCCTAGTTTCTCTATTAAATTTAAGAGTAATATACATAGTACATGCTATTAAGTATTTTTTTATGATCTTGCTATTCAAATGCTGCATAGTGGTGCTACGCATATTATACATTCCTAGTAATGAACAGTTTAGTACAGTATTTCTTTTGATCTGATTCTTTATTTGTCATCGAGAAGGTTAGATACCCCGTACGCTTCGAAAAGTCAAAGAATAGAGTGCTTTCGGACACGTAGCAGTATTGCAATTACCTTTTATGATACGGGCTATCTAGACCTATTATGTATTTAGATGCACATTCATATCAATGATAGAAGATGATGGAACAGTGTATTTAACCGGGGTTTCGCACAAATGTATCTACTATTAAAAGAGAAGTGGTGCTTACTATAGTTACCCATTTTTGGAAATCCTGATCCTGTTTTGGAAATTGTGATGCTGCTAAGCCCCGGCTGTCAGTATAATTTTTTTTGCGCTGAAACTGGGATAAACCACTGCTCTTCCCTCAC